CATGCAGATAATCAATCCATCCATGTTTCACCTTCAGCCTGCAGAATGACGTATGTTCAGAGTTCGTTTTCACATTGGTCTGCTGAAGGGGGAAAGTTTCTCCGTGCTCACCTGAAATCTGAGTTTTAAGATGTGAACGCACAAGTATGATTCTAAATAAGTTTAGAAACAATCCTGCTGCAGATAATAACTGATGTGATGTGGAAACCAATTGATTCCTCCAGTGCATATACAGGGAGAATGGAGAGAAAAAGAGAAAGCTATTCATTTTTAATGCAGGAAAAGTTAGCGACTGTGTGAAATATGTGGAAAAAACATGTATCTTCAATTTCGCACAGTTCAGCATGTTGTTTAGCTCATTTTAATCATTATGTGAAATACGGAAATAAATAATAAACAGAAATAATAACACATTTTCTCATTTTTATTTGAATCCAGACATGAAAATGCAGCAAGAAATACAAAATAATGCAAAATAAATGAATGAATCTAACACTGTACTTCTGCACTGTGACGACAGACTGGAGGGGGCATATCGATTGTATTTTCTATGGCACGTTCAGCTTTGTTGGGGGGACAATACTATGGGTGCTGGAGGTACCACCCTGGTCATGAAGTAAAAGAGGGAACAGCGAGTACTGATACAGTGAAATCTCACAGGTTCATTGGAATGTAGACAACACAAGGCCATTGCACTGTAAATACTCAACAAGTCAAGCATCTCACATCACTGGGAGGTACGGAGAGTCACTCTGAGGTAACCGGACTGGCTCTCATCAGGAACAGCGGCATGGATCAAGTTTGATTCCACAACCATGTTTATCCACTTTGGAAAAACGTCACTTCTTGTAATGTATCATTATTCAAAACAGGAACCCAAGATGACATTTCAGTAATCATTTTGTGAGAACACAGAACACTGGATATCTCATGTTGGAACAACATGTTTAAAATGTTGGACTGAAGAGGGGTTATTTTTCGGGATCATCAAACAGAGTCAAGTTAAATAATAGACCTTCGTCATCACTTAATGCCAGGTCAAAAATAAAGAATAACTGAAAATTCATTAGCCGTATAAAACGTCATGACCTCTGCAGTGAAGTATTAAATGCCACAACTCTGCAGGTCCTAAACAGATCCCAATCCCAAGTTCCTGCAGAACAGCTCCAACACATCAGCAATACCACTTTAGATTGTCTCTCACAGTAACAACTACAGCTATGTTTCAAATACACCTTTATTCATGAACATCAAAAATAACGTTATTTACATTGTTGCTTATACATCATATATTTGAAAGATATTTTTCTCTTGAGTAGTAAAATACTTCAGTTTAGTGCTCAGGCTTACAGTTAAGTGCTCCGTTATTGAGTTCGTTCTATTATAAGAGATCTGAGGTTCATGCCAAGCCAGTCTCGTGTGGTGCAAAGCTGTGCAGCATTTGAATAGTTAACATATCAAACAGTCTGAATTGGTTCAATGCAACTGATTATGATTTAATATTCTTAGTCAGATCCTGTGAAAATGCAGTCAAGAGGCTATAATCGTACATAATTATTGAATGCAAAAGCTTTGTCCTCCAGCGAAACATCAGGATGATACGAATGCTTGAACCTCACTGTGAAGTTCAGCCACCGCTAAAAGCCTCGGCGACAGTTTCCCATTCAAGCAAGTGTCCGCATGTCTCTGGCCGTCTTCAACTGCCTGCCTCTTTATGCAAACCAGCTTCACGTTAACATACAAGGGAGCATGGACAACAACAGCAGCAGCACGTTAAGAGCTTAGAAGTAGTAATCTGTTGCTGAGTCACTATGATACTGGTAAGACGCTATCGAGAGTTGACCCAAATAATGGGTTTAAAGAACCGTAAAAACAGCACAGAACCAACCGAGGTTATGTATGGCACATCTTTACATCACAAAGCATATTGAAATATGGAAGACAGCAAATAAACTCTATGAAAGCAATGACATTTGGTTGATATGCAGTTTGTTTTTTTCCACAGAAATAATGGAAATGGGAGCTACAGACGCTTGGAGCCACATGTGTCTTTTTGCCCTTCAAACTTATTGAAACTCCAGACATAAAGTCGTCGCACCTTTCACACCCGTCACAAGCAAGGGGCTCTCTAGAGAGTTGTTGACTTGAAATGTATGTTTGGTCCCAGTGTGCTTAAGAGTTATGCCAGTGTTATGCAGGCGTGTGTGTGTGTGTGTGTGTGTGTGTGTGTGTGTGAGAAAGAGATGGAAAGTATCTGTGCTTTATCTCCCAGCTTTACCGTCAGACTAAAAGTTATGCCAAATTTGTTCAAGAAACACAGTTGTTAAACCCACAAAAGACAACTAACCTTTAAGATCTTCACCGAGAGAAACTTTGAAATACTTATCTCTTTTAAAGATAATTAATATTAGGCAGTTCATTGCTCATCTTTTTCTTAATTTTGTTGAAGTCCTGGTCAGGAACAGTATTTGGTAAATATGTGTGTTTGATGTTATTGGTCTTCATGTCCAAGGTTTGGTTCATAGATCTATGATTTCACTGCTGACGCTGGCAGAGTCGTCATGTCGGCTGACCTCCAGGTAACTCCGTGACCCCGCCGGCCTCCCAGCCCTCCCCCGCACCCTCTCCGATTCCGGGGTGATGAAGGGCCGTGTGTCGTCCACGCCATCCTCCCCCAGATTCCCCGTCGATGTCCTGGAGGGACGCAGTGACACAGGGCAGGACACTGACGAGGGAACGCTCCCCGCCTCGTTCCCAGCCCACCGGTGACCCTGGTGGGAGGGAGTAGGGGGAGCGGTCACCTGCCTGCTGGGAACACTGCTGAGAATGCTGCCCCCCAGTGGCATGGAGGACTCTGTCGGGGCATCGCTGCTCTCAGAGAGCATCTGGGGATCACTGTTCCTGCGGAGCCAAGGCCCCTGGCTGACCCCTGACCCCGGGGAAGGGGTCTGTGAGGTCAGGTTCAGAGGATGAAACAAGCTTACTCCTCCGAGCAGGTACTCCCTGTTCAGGGCCTCGTCGATGCTGCGGGTCAGGTCAATGGGAGACGGGGGCCGCAAATCAAACTCGTAAAGAGACAGGGAAATGTCCCTATCCTGATCCAGACTGCCGCTCACTGAGCGCTGCGGAGGCCGACCCAGCGCCTGCAGTCTCAGCAGGGAGCCTGTGGAGCCGTCAGATACGCCTCGTTCTGCAGAGTGGCCCCTGTGGTTTCGTTCCCGGTTGCTGTCTTTGACACAGCGTGGCTGGGCGCCAGCCAGCTCGTGGTTCTGGTTCCTGATCAGACTCTTGCTGATGTCCGCTCCAGGACGCTCCTGGCCAGCCCAGTTATTAGGCACCTCCCCTGGTGGTGGTCCTCCTCCTACTCCTCCTCCTCCTCCCCCTCCTCCCACCCCATTACTGTCAGACTTTCGACAGGGCTTCCCCCTTAAGCTCTGGACTATCTTGGACCAGCAGGTGTGTCTTTGAGAGGAGCCTGTAGATTGCCCTGGGGATGGCAGGTCTCCTGCTGCTCTGCCATCTGGTCCACCTTCCTCCCTTCCACGGCAACCTTGAGGCCTCCAGAACACCCAGGAACCCAGGAGTAGAAGGGAGAACCCCCAGGCCAGCTCCAGGAGCCGGGCCCAGAAGTGGACCAGCCACCATCCCCAGTTGAAGCTCGTCCAGTCTCCTAGCAGTCCGTAGAGCCATAAGGTGGCGTGAACATGCAGCCCACAACACAGCGCTCCCAGGACCGCACACACTGCCAGCACTCTCGCCAGAATCACCCCGATCCTCCTGCTCCCTGTCCAAGCCTTCCTCCTGGCCTCCTCGGGGACTCCAGGGTGGGGAACAGAAGGGCAACGTATACGTGGAAACACATAGCAGAGGAAGCCGAGACAGAGAGCCAGGCCCCAGCACAGGGACAGGACCTGTAAGGTGACGGGCACCACGGGGGACAGGGCCGGGGAAAGCAGATCAGCCGCCAGCAGCAGCGTACACTGCAACACAGCCAACACGGCCACCAGAGGAGGACGCTCCAGAGGGGAAGGCAACACGCTGACTCCTGCCACCCTCAAAGCCAGTAGTGCCAGGGCAGCCTGTGTCCACACCAGCAGGTGCAGAGGCAAGTTGTAGAGAGCCGTAACCGCGGGGCGAGGAAGGAACTTCCGAGTGCCATAGGGGTCTATTAGAAGGAGAGCTGCCCTAAGGCCTCCAGCCAGAAACAGCAGAGCGTTGGCGAGTGCAAGAGCCCCCCGATGAGGACAGTTTGCTCCAGGGGACAGGGTGAGGCTGAGGGCCGCTCCAGCAAACAGGAGGAGGAAGAGACTCGCTGAGCCGTAGACATGGAGCTCCCAGGCAAAAGCCAGCGTCCGACTCAGATCACCCCAGTAGAGGAATGTGCTTTTAGAGGAGGGAGGGTCGCTGGGAGAGGGGGCTGGATTAGACGTAGAGTGGGGGGCTTGGTGAGGATGTCCTAGGATGATGGAGCGGTTTGTCTGAGGAATTCCAGCCTGATATGTGGGGCTTAATCTTGTTTGGGCGACAGGTACGACACCGGTGGCAAGGAAGGAAGAGGTCCCTACAAAAAGAGAAACAGAGTTTAAATATATGAAAACAAAATGTTAAAAGTATAATTACTATAAATTATATTCATCTAAAAAGCAGTGCTTTAGAATAAAAGTAAATGAAGTACTATACAGAACCACTAGAGGGGTGTAGCTCACCGTCAGAGTCATGATCTCACAGTCTCACACATCGTCTCAGGTCTACATTTAATATAAATAGGAAGGTCTAATGAAATTGCATCACTTCCTTTTCTCTTTCAATCAGCTCAGTGTGTCTCATCAGCTGTAACAAAGTATCCCAAAACATGGCTTCGTATAGAAATAACAGACCTGAACCACAGAAAGCAGAAATGCAGAGATTACACATCATGACGCGTTTGTTTAACGCGTTTGTTTAACCAGCTAATACCAGCATGCAGGTTTACGAGAATGTGTACACAATCAAGCCAAAGTCTAATTATGTCACTTTCGTCAAATGTTCGGAAGGTCATGTAATGACAGTCATCATACGCTATAAATGTCAGTACGATTTGAAAGCTATACCACCACATAATCCACATTACATTCATAAATTAAAGGACTTCATGCTGAGCAAATCTCCTCGGAATAACTGAATAGTAATTGTGTGGATTAATTGGATTAGATTATGTAATTATCGAGAACATCTACTTTACGTAACACCAAACAGTGTCACAAAGCAGCCCTGAAAACTCTCTGTTTGAATTTGCAGTGTTATGCAATACATAACTACCTTATGGACAAGACAACACCTTGACAATGTGGCATCTCATGGAGCGCTGCAGGAATGAGTCCTAAAACCAGGAAATGAGTCAGCATTTTTGCACTTCAGGTTCCCTTGCCTGGAAGTCAATGGGTTTTTGGTCAGAGGCCTGAAATAAGGTATGTGGTTAAGACAAGCTTAAGAGATTTGTTCTACATTATAAAATATGTCAGTAAACATCCCAATTTTTAAGCTTTTAAGTGTCTTAAAAGTGAATTATAGTCCACCTTTACAGCCTCGTTGAGTTTATTACTCGTGCTCATGTGACCATAGTGTAGTTCGTTTACAGCCTAGCGTTAGCATTGTGTTTATGCATCCATGCATAAACACATCATAAAATTGGTGTTCATTTGTGAAAATGATCTTGCTGAACAAAACTCGTAAGTATCATAAAAATTCGATTAAAAAATCCCATTGGCTTTTTGTCGAGGGAACCGGTGCAATGCCAACTTCCTGCATCCCTGCAGCGCTCTATTATCTCACACACATACTTCAGTTTGCTCAAGGCACTCCACCTTATCCTCCTGCCAAGCCTTGGAAACACCCATCGGCATTATAATCACGGGGACATTCATCACTTTAAAACTACTCAAATGTAAAGATTAACACACAGCATAAAAAAAGGACATATTGAGCATCATAAACTGATGAAGATGTAAAAAATGTTAAAGTATTTTAAAGGACAACAGCAGACACTTAAGAAACAGTTGTAGGTCAAGGGTATCTATATTTAACTATGTCTAATAAACCTAAACTTTTAACTTCTAAACTTGATGGATGGTGTAACAGCATGATCAGTGGTAAAACACTCAAACTGTCAGCCATTAGGAGGACGTTAAACCTGTCCTCACCATGTAGGACACGCATAAAGCTGACACAACGACTAATGACTCACTCCAACATGTGTTTTCAGTTCCTGGCTCCCTCCCTCTTATAACACACACACACACACACACACACACGTTTCACTTTCAGACTCACACAGACGAGCACTGCATACAGATCACAGACACACTTCTTTATTTGTATAAAGGTATGTTTTACTTCCTTCCCTCGAACCCCTTTTTTCTTCTTCTTCTTCTTCTTACAGGAGCAAGATCCAGACACATTCCAGATGTGCTGATCACGTTTCACAGCTGGATGCACTTACCCCTACCCTTGAGTTTTCTCTTTTACACACTCTGCTTACACTGCTTTATATGTCCACACGGTGCAATGAACAAAAAAAATTAACATTCTGTTCCATCTCGTATGACAAACAATCACGTGTTTATGACACCGATACAAATGTGGATGGATATTTTCCTGCGTTTTGACTGCGGATACTAGGCAACAAATTAGATGGCAGCACCTGGGAAGGGGCACTGGTTCAGATATTTTCATCATCCTTCAATGCCAGACATCATTTAAAACAGTTCAAAACACTCCAGAGGGTTCATTGGTCCGAGGTCAAGAGAAGCCATATTGAACCCAATGAAAAGGAACTTTGACTGAGCCCATTAAAAAGAAATGTATCAACAACACTGTAATACAAATCGTTGCAGGATTCATCGTTATCTGCCTGCGCCAGCGAATCATCTGGAAAAAGTGTTCCACAATGGTGACGCAGTGAGAGGTCTGGATACAGCGTGAGAGGAGTTTATTCTCATGAAAGTTACTTATCGGAGCATGAAGCAAAAAGAGTTTGACTTCTTAGTATGGAATTCAGATGAAAATACCCGGACCTTCCGGATTATGGGGCCCATGGAGCCCATGGAGCATAAGCACTAGCGTTTACTTTAACTCTGCCTCCCAGCCCGCCGTCCAGCCTCATTCACATGAACGGAGGAAGAAAAGTAACTCTGAATTCAGGTATTAGTGACAACATTACAACATTTAGGACCTAATTATTTTAACAGCTACAACAAGGGCTATTCAGGTGTTTGTTGATTCTGGGAAGTTGATTCACCAAAAAAATTAAAAAAATGTACCCACTGAGTTGCAGACTCAGTCGATATCCAATAGATAGATTCCCAATGTCAGTTTAAGGGGGAAAAAGTATTTTTGGGACTCATGGCATCACCGTTTGGCCTCTGTGTAAAATTTGCTTCGAAGCCCGGGCAGAACTCATGCTGCTTTGTTTGACGAAGAAAGAGCCGATAGCGTTGCACATAACAAAGAGGAGGAGTTGATAAAAAGAGAGACTGGTGTAGCCTCGGTACATGGATATGGTTCAACAAGCAGAAAATTATAATCTCTAAATCATGTCGGCAGTGGTTGCAAGGGGTGGTGCTACAAGTGATCTTCAAATCAACACTCGTTCTGGAATATGAGCAAAGCAAAAGAATGCGTCGCCCGCAAACAGGCAAGTGAGTCATTGAGCAAGGAGAAAGGGTTTTGTATTCTTCTATGTTCATTCATTGTTTTTCGTAATAAACGTTCTTAATTACCTCGAGGCGAACTATGTGGAATGTGTCCTTGTAGTAAAGTTACAGTAATAGCTGCCATGCAGTTGCCATACCAGTACCAGCCCTTTAGAAGCCTTTATTGACATTTTAGGAAAAACAAATACACCATGATATATAAACCGTGATATACAACTATAAGGGGGAATCCAACATGCTATCTAAAATATGGGACCCCGATAACACTTATCCAACAAAGACTGATTTTTAAGCAATTATTTCTCGTGTTTTTCATGTAAAAGACTTTTTTTCGTCCCCTCTTTTTAATTTACTACTCTCTTTTTGGTACTATGGTCATTATTATGATTCATAGTATTATCCGGCTAGCCATTTCCCCCTTCCTGTCCCCTTTGCGTACATTCGGGCCCTTTACCATATTTCTAGCTCCTCTCTCTGTGTCTATTTAATGATCTATGGATCTGAAATACTTACAAAACCATCAAAAAGTGTTATATATCAAAAGCATACAGTACAAACTGGTATTACCATTGATGCAGGACTTTAATAAGATGACCTGCCAAGGAGCCTTACTTTAACTGTGCTCATGGGAGTGTGTGTTGAAAAGTCATTAATATGTTGTTCTGGTGGTATCTAAGAGACCGGCTCATGCGCCTCCGTGTGTCACGCGTTTTCCTTTTTCCATCCACGTTTTTCTCCCCTCCCTTCATGCCGTCTCCGTGCATCTGGTTTTCATTACCGTCCACACTCCCTGCATTTCTATGCCTGTACCTTTCTTCCATCACACTTTCACCCGCCCCATCTACTCTCTCATCTGTACTCCCAACTGTCTCTTTCTCAGACCCTACTTTCCTCTCGTGTATCTCTTTGCATGGCTGCGATTCTACCGGCCCGCTCTTCACACCCCCCCCTTTTCACCTCCTTCTCATACGTTCTTCCCCTCGCTGTGTCTACCCCACACAACTACCACCCCACTTTCCACGGAAAACTGCCTCTGCTGTTTTTTCCCCTCCTTTGAAGCCTTTTCCAGATTCTTCCAGTAAAAAAAACAGTTCCAGCTGCACAAATAATTCCATTTTGAATCATCAGATAGGATTAAAGGACACTTTAAAACTAAAGACCTTCATTTCTTACCTGTCCTTGACGACTGTGCAGTTGTGCTGGCTGTGTTTCTTCCCAGTTGAGCTGTTTTGTTTTGTCGACGTGTTGTTCTGGAGGATGTTCTCACGGCCTCCTGTGTAGTAGTAAGCGTACTGGTTGTAGATGTGGTTGTCGCTTGCTGTGTCGCGACTGGCTGTTCTGCAGTCTGTGGCTGTTTATAGTTTATAGTGGGTTTGGGTGATGTAGTAGAAGAAGAAGTATCTCTGACGGTGGAAGGAGTGTTCTCTGTGAGTTTACCTAAAGAAAGGTGGAAAAGAGACATTTGTGACACGGTGTAAAGACTTTGACCTCAACAGCACCTTGCTGTCATGATCCATTGATTTCTCACCTGTTGATACTACAGTCCGAGGTGGCGCCCGTGTTGCTACAGGGGATGGTGGGGCTCTGGTCTCAGTCTGTGGCGTGGTGGGGATTTTACTGGCTGTTGTGAGCACAAACAGGTGCGGCTTCGTGGTCGGACTGTCTGGTGGTGGTGTTTTTACATCAGGAACTTTAGATATCGCCGTCTGCGCCTGTGGCTGATACTGAGCCATTCCATCAAAAACTGTTGACAGAGGAAGGGGTGATTCCTCGTTCACGGGCATCACTGTTGGAACACTACCTGATCCAAACTCCAGCAAATCATCATCCTCCGTCTCTCTGAGAGATCCCTCCTCTGGTTTTCCTGCTGCCACTGGCTCATCACCTGCAGACTCAGCGACGGCGGCGGAGGGAAAAGTGGGCAGAGGAGGAGTTGAACCTTTTGTTGTATCATCTCCCGTTACAAAAGCCCTGCTGATTGCTAAACTAGCTGTATCAGTCCTGGGCCTGGAGGCAGTCGGTTGAGCTAAAGTTGGCCCACTGCTTAGGTTCTGCGTTGAAAGTGCGGATATAAAAGGAGGAGTGGACTGTGCGGTAGGACGGGGCACTCGTCTCCCCTGTAGCGCTGCATTCGTGGTTGTCTGTCTGTCTCGGACTGTAGCTCTGATAGGCACGTCGCTACGCCCTCTGGGAGGCAGAGATGGCCAGAATCTAGCGGTCTGCTTGGTAGGTGGAGGTGATGAATTATAAGGCAGGTCCAGAGGAGAGAACGAGGAGGAGGAGCCAATGATGGTCTGGGCATCTGTGGGATGGAGGAAGGAGAGGAGGAAGCCCAGGAATAGGAGAGACATGGGAGCCATGGTCTGGCTCTGAGTGGTGAGCGCCGGTGACTGGTCCCTCTGGCTGTCTGTGTGTCTGTCTGTGTGTCACACCATCCTTCAACTGGGATGCTGTTGACAGAGAAAAACAGGTCATTTTTACATTTCATTAAATAAATAAAAAATAACTTTGGGTACGTATACCGGCGGCGACCAGTGTCTTAAAACTGCATTTTCTCTAATAGCCAGCAGGGGGCGACGCCTCTGGTTGTATAGAATGGCTAATTTAAAATAAAATAAATAAATGTAAATCAGTAAGAATTTGCAATGAAGACTAATCTGAGCTGAGCATGTCGCAGCCTTGCTTGGCTGATTCAGAGGGCAGGTCAACGAAACTCCCACAAGGTTCCAGCAGCATGACACCGGCGGACACACAGGGTGCGCCGTATGGTTTCGAAATACATGGCACATACGCCGCCGACGCACACCGACACAAAGGCAAGAGTTCCCCTATAAGTTACATAAACCATCAAAACGATCAAGTCAAAAAGACATAACAAGAGGAGTCACAGATGGTTTCATTCACTGGCAGATGGACACATTCACTTTCTTTTTCCCCCTCACTATCTCTGCCATAAAATGTTCTTTGGATGAATAACAGCTTTGTTCTCCTCCAAAGTTTCCAAGCAGCAGGACTCTACTCCCCGTTTCTGCCTGTTCTGTTGAGTCATGGATGCCAGGAGCCGACAGCTGTAGTGTGGTGAAGCTCAGAGAGCCCAGTGACACGGATAGACCCCCGGGCCCTTGAGGATTACACAACCTCACAAGTCATCTAGCTAAACAGCCGCCAGTCGCATCCCCTCAACATGCACTTGTTATCAAAAAAACAAAACACCCCTTTTCTTTTACCATTTGAGCCTCTGACTTCCATAAAGCTCATGTTCACACCGGCCTCTGCCTGTGACTCACAGTGGGAGATAACCTTGGGAAACAGCGAGGATCACGCCGAAACTTCAGCTGAAACGTCAGAAGGAAAGGCTCAGAAAATAGAAATCTGCGCCTATGGCCGGATTCATTCTGCTACTGATGACTCACCTATGGTTCATTCACAGCTGCACACCACGGTTGGCGTGTGCATTTCGTGCTCATGTAAGATGTGACTAATCTGTGTGAGCATATGAAAAAAAAAAGCGTGTGTGTGTGTGTGTGTGTGTGCGTGCGCCAAGCAGGAGGTCACAGAGAACGCTGCAGGGCTGTGAGGGAAATGTAGACTAGTGCAAGACAATCTTTGTGTTTGAGCTCGTCTTGCATTCGTCAGTGCTTTGTCAACCTGTTTACTAGGTGTTGGTAGTGTTACACAACAGCAGCTGGATGACGAGTATAGTAAGAGGTAGTATATCTCAATGTCCACCCACTCACAGTAGCCTCAGTGTTTATTTTCCTGCCTGTCTCAGGCACCTCTTCTGCTCTCAATCTAGTCGGCCGTTGGCCAATCCGACCTCTGATTAATCCGTGCTTTTCCCCCTCTCTTTCTTTTCCTCTTGCCCCCCGTTTAATTGGAGTTGTTTCAACAATGCTCCTGTGAGTGTTGAAAGAGGGCCCTGGAGATAGGGAGATAAGGGTGGATGTAAGAATGCGGAGATAAGGAAATAAAACGGGCACGCTCATAGAACGGATAGGCAGGAGTGGGCGGAGAAGACGGAGGAGGCACGGTGACGGTAATGGAGCTGACAGTGGAGCGAGAATTGAGGGGATCAAAAATGACAAAATGAAGACTGAGAGAAGTCGTGAGGGCAGTCAGTTTACAGACAGACAGTTGATGTAAACTGACAGAAACTAAGAAGCAGAATATTTGTGAAAAAGAGTCACGAGGAAACTGTGTTTTGGGATTAACGGGTTTGGTGTGGTCCAAGCGCCGATATGGCAGCCTGTCCAGGAAGGCATGCGGAGAAACGGAGCCCACTTCACCTTTTTCCACCGAGGTTAACTTGCAGGTGCGCAGCTTCTGGCAGCCGGAGATAAACAACCCGAGTATTGAGAAATGTCTTTGAGTAAACACACAAGTATGTTGATCCAACACAATCCATCACGTGCATCCTATGTGTGTGTGTGTGTGTGTGTGTGAAGGTAGGCAGTTGCGATTAATGAGCCTAAAAACACGTTGGGCCAAATAAGATTTAGCGAGAGGAGGGAAACGCTGTCAGCTTTAATCCAACCTCCACACATGAGCCTCAAACCCACACACACAGCAGTGGTTCACCACAAAAAAATGTTTTTCTTGACTGGAGTTAGACAATTTAACTACAAGTTTCCATTGAAGTAAAACAAATGTAGGCTGATTGGCAGCTCCTCTAAGCAGGCTGAATTACAGGCCAGGAATAGCCAACCATGTGTGTCGTTCAAAGACCAGATCAGTGTGATCAGCTGATTTGGTGTTTGGCTTGAATATAAAACCTGGATGCCCTCAGCCCACCGGAGCACACAGCATGTCCCTCTGCAGATGGGTGCACGGTCAGTCAGAGTATTTTTTAAAATCATTTTCAGCCCCTCGAGGGAAGAGGGGCACATTATTTCATGTGCAGTGGGGTGCGCATGTTGTGTCGATGTCGTCACTCTCTCCCACACAATACGTTCTTTATCCAGAGCAGGAAATGCTCACACATAATATCCACTAGTAGCCTACAGCAGCCCAGCGACAATCTGAAGATTACTATAAACTGAGTATATAGAAAACTGTCAAATAGCTAAAGACACTATTCAATTTAGTTTACTTATTCTTCAATCCGATATTTCCTGATTGAAATCACAACTTTGCACATTGTTAGACCTTGAACAGCTGCTTGCAACATTTGAGAGCTGTGGCTTCTTTTGGTTTTTGCAGAATTTTTTGTTTTCATGTTCCTCAAATAAAGATATCAAAACAAGTATCGTTCACTATTATCGGGTCTTACATCAGCACAAGTATTGAAACATGACAGTCTGCAGACGTGAGGCTGTAATTGAGCGCAGAGGTGCTTTTTAGCCAAATGCTAACATCGGCTTGCTAACACGCCCACAACAACAATGCAAACAGGATGTTTACCATCTTAGCATAGAGTGTTAGCATGCTAACATTTGCTCATAAACACAAAGTGCAGCTGAGGCTGATGGAAATTAGCTTAACCACGAATGTCTGCACAACATTTCATGGCAAATTAATCCAATAAGTGTTGAGATATCTCAATCTGGACCAAAGTGTTGGAGGGACAGATCAGAACGCCGTGTCTTTGACGGAGCGTCCCACACCTGAGTCGACTCGTGGTATCCAATGTCGAGGTGGCTCATGACCAGGATTTCACAGTCAAAGTCACCCGTGACTTAGCTGAGAGGAAGAGCTCGTTAATGGCTGACAGGAGGAAATAAGAAAAGATTGCAAATCTTTCCCCCAAAAATAGACAAGAAATATTGTCCAGAGAGGTAGAGAAGCAGGGATTCTGCAGTGACAGTGAAGATGGACAGAAAGAGACTGGAATAAACCAGCTGAGAGAATTGCTTGCCATGCAGATGTGTAACTTGTTTGCCATGTAGAGGGAGAGAGGTGAGACTGTGAAGCAGTGTATGTGTGTGAATGTGTGTGTACGTGAGACACCGGTAGAGGAAAGGAGTGAGGGGTGTGAGGGGGGAGGAGGGTGAGGGAGTAGCCTATGTGTGCGGTGATGTTGGTATGCGGGTAGTCGGGGGAGGTCGCTGGTTCGACCGTTAAAAATTCCACACCTTGAAATAACATGGATTGCAAACAGCTCCCACAATATTCATTTGTTTATTTAAATTATAGCTATAACAAATTAAAATTCATGAATGCTGTTCAGTTTAAATGAAGTAGATTTATAAATGAGGAGAACTATGAGCTCTCCAGAAATGCCTTATAGATTCTCCAGCATGTTTTTTTCCGGGCGGTCACCTTTGCTGTCCATTTAGCTCTTAACACAAACCAACTTCTGTTAAGGATGCCTCTCTCGTGGCGGGCGGGAGGGCATGGGGGTGTGTCAAAACTCCACTGGGGCAACCGGCCCCCCCACACAGCTGGGGTCAAGCTGAAGGAAGAGAAGAGGCTCCAGAACCAATCAAGGATGCGTTTGATCCTTATTTAAAGCGGATATCCAGCTTAAAAAAATATATATATTTGACTGATGTTCCGCCTTCATGCGAGTCACAGATCAAAGGTCAGCCTTTAAGGGTGAGGCCCTTTAACTGCACTGTGTGTATGCCACACGCGCTGCACGCAATGGGGGGGGGGGGGGGAACACAAGCTACAAATATTGACGTACGACAGGTGACCGTAGACAGGAGGTTTACCTTCCTAAACGCACATTGTCCACACAGATCCAGTAAATAACTGTGAGTATACTTCAAATTAGCACTCTCGCACACTCCCCCAGCAAAAAACACACCCTGAGAGATAGAGAGTCTGGTAACTGATTGAAACAACGGCTACACCACGCCAAGCCACGAAAACACTCTCAGGGAGAAAGAGATTATGGGCGTAAACAGTTTGCCTGCTGCAGGGAGTGAACCGCAGCTCCACTTCAACCCGAGACTCTCACTTTGTTACAGCTGGATGCAATAAAAAACAACAACCGCTGTGTTAAGTGGGGTGTTGTGTGGCAGGGACTGAATTTGCAGACAGATTGTATGTCTATAAAAAAAATGAACTAGGCCCTATTATTTCGTACCTGGATGTTATTGTTGCATATTTACAACTTAATAAATAATTTAATAATTATATATCACAGCTAAAAGGGTCCAGCTTAGGAACGGATTGTGTCTTAGTGAGTTTTTGCTTCATATGTTTGTCTTGATTCAAGCTTTTATTTTCCGCTATTCTGGGAGGATTGTCTGTTGTGGGAAGTATTATTTAACTGCACTCTCAGTTTAAAACGGTGTTGTTGTTTTGGTACAAGATAAGCCATTAAGCCATTTATAGACTACTCAACACTGAGGCATGCAGCCATGGATCACCCTCTGTGCTGTTACAGCCTTTCAAAAAACTATCTTCTCTAAAAACACACTATCAAAACAGACAGTAAATCTCTCTTGAGCTGCTTTACAGTTCAATAGCGTCCTTCCTTCCTTTTTCTTTCTTTCTCTTGTCAGTGGATCAGGGTGTGCTGTTTTTCTTCTGAATTGGAGTCGTATGGGTGCGCTCTGCGTTACATCCAACTGGCACTGTGGAGCAGCTCTGCCCGTGCGCTCCCAGTGGGAGGAGTGGCCCTCCCTCCGCTGGTTGCGTGATGAGGAATAGGTGAATCCACAATCCTTTTGTAGTGCCACGGCCCTGCCTACATGTTGAGGTGAGACAACCCTCGTAAATAAACCATACACACACACACACACACACACACACACACACACACACACACACAACACGTTGCGCACCTGCCAGTGGTGGCCAAGTTGGAGAAATAGTACCCGACTTGTTGCTGTTTCACCAACATTATTTCCACTTTTCAATTTAGGTTTGACATGCAAATTAAAGGAAACTCGAGAAGCTGGTTGAATCACACGACCGGTGAAGTGGAGAGACAAACAATAATATCATTTTCAAGCTCTGGGGTCGTTACGGGACAGAATCAAAGGGTCTACTTTTTACGCAACACTAAATACATTAGTAATGTAGTTTTGCCGTTGTAGGTGGGTCCTCCTATGGACTTATTACGTTACAACCCGACATATGAGGTTATTAAGCAGCCTATCCGCAAGTAGCCAACTGTAACATAGCAACCTAGAGTTTCAAGTCTGCATAATCAATACATCTTAAATTAGATAAAGGGTTTAATTGGCGCTAGATTTTGTATGTATTACAATCACATGCTGACGTTATCTACCGTTGGTCACGAAGAGCAGTAACGGCGTTACTGCGTACGTGACCGTCCTAACAGCAAGCAACCGTGATGGCTCCAACTGATAAAAAAATCACCGCTTTGTCTGCGCTCCACGAGACGGGTCGGGACGGTAAGCTGTTCACTGTCACAACGCACACAAAAAGTAAAACGATCACGGTAAACGTGTTGAATTAACGCGAATGTAGCCCTGTGAACCCTGGACACCGACGGCACAGGTATAGCGATAAACGTCCCCACGCGTGGATCACTGCGCAAAGTACCGCCGCATAGCAGCCGCTGTTATCATCCATACCTGCGGGGTCCGCTCCGATTGGAGACCTCTGCGGCAGATACCGGGTGGGACTAGGACGTGTCCGGGTAAACGTGCCGCGTTAGTCCAGGTTGACCGCTTAGGTACGTTCAACCGAAAACGGTCCTCTGTCAACGCACAGAGAGCTTCAGCAGCCTTTTACCGCTGCCAGCTCTGAATCCATGAGCTACTGAGCAGATGAACGCCCCCTTCGACCGCTCCATCTCTCTACACACCGCTCCCTCTCTCTCTCATTCCCTCCCTTCCTCCCTTACAAGTAAACACGATTTACCTTCCAACCTACCGCCTGGATACGTCTGTTACGCAACAGCAGTCCGGGACGCAGGTTCAGACTGAGCAGCACCCATAGAGGCCTACCTATTTATTTTTATTCTTTTTTTTTTGGTGCCCAGTGGAAATATGACGACACTGGCACTGACATCATCACGCAGCCTGCGGTGCCACTATCCAGCTTCTGTTTCTCCCCCCTTTTCTCAGATATAAATAGCTGCAAAATGAAGCTGCACACCTGGGGTTGTAAAAGTGGTGTGAAAGGAGTGGGTTGTGGGGGAGACAGGTGAAGGAGAGGCACCTGACTTAAAAAAATTTTTTTTTTTTTTGGCAGAGTGGTGCAGCAGCAGCAGCAGCAGCAGCATGGACAATGAACTGGGAAACAGAGCCTTGGATGAAACTCTACCTCCCTCGCCTCTCCCCCTGCCCTCCAACCAGGGTCTGTGGAGGGGGAGCAAGCCAGCCCCGAGCCAAGATGACTGTTTCCTCATGCGGCACCTTGGCTCAGTGCCTCCTCTTCTTTATCTGTCTCTTACACAAACACAACACTAGTTTGGACATGCTGTTGGGACTGCAGCTCTGACCGATTGAGCCCAATGCAGGACATTAGGTCTGGAACAGAACACTCATCAGCAGCAACTACCTCACTCTGTGTCATTATTTCTCCTTTCTCTTGTCACTCTCATTAGATTGTCTCCACTGCACAGTCCTAAAATAACCTGTGCAGCTCAGAGGATTGTCCTAATGCCATTACGTTACTACTGAGCCAGCAGGAGAGACACTGGAAGGTTGCGACAGGAGGAGCAGGGACACTTCACGACGGTAATCCCGTTATTGCATATGGATTCAAATTCTACAGGGAATAAACGTGATCAAACCCTACATATTTATACACCCCAAATAGAGAAGAATGGATGTTTAGATAATGTTTTTGGAAGAGATATTATGTAATTTAGATTATCACCACATGCACTTGTTATCTGCTGTGCAGTGTTGATCATATTATCATGTTAATGGATGTTATCCAGTTATGTGATGCTAATGAGATGACTGTAATCTGGTGTACCAGAGGGGGATCTGATTCATAACATCTTCAAACGAAACAAACAGACACTGGTGAGTCTTTGCTCGTGCACATGTAGGTGCCTTCTATCGTTTAAAGTTACCCTGCGGAACTTTAAACTGGTTATGAAACAGTCTCCGTTAAGCACTGATGTCTCTCTATGACCTAAACCTGTACCTTTAAATTAAGGGAGAGCTCAGTGGTGTCCAACCACACATTCTCATCCCAACTCGCCACATGCTGACGCTCTGTCAGACCGCTTGGCGTCACTTTCTAACGCACTGGGAAGCCCAGAACACGGTCCTAGTGAACACGTGGTTAAAGTTGTGAATTCAAACAAAAACACTTGCTTTGGTTTCGGAAAAAAACATCACGTTTAGTCTTAAAATAATACGTAAACATTGTAACAGAAGTACGGAAAACATGTCACAAACATGACTAACGTAACTTTAAAGCAACGCATCGGTCTTGAACACCGGTTTCCTAGTTGAAAGTCCTGCTGTTTGTTTCATTTTGTTTGCGAGGGTATTTTCTACGTTTATACTACGTTGTCTCGCTAACGTAGCCTTTTCTCTGAGCATCTAATAATGACACGGATGGGTTTACATTGTAGTTACTAGCAAGCCTGGTGCGTCTCGTACAGGCGCCAAAGGGCGCCTCGTGCGTTGGTTTCAGGCGCATGGTTTTTTGAGCATTATGTAGGTGACTGTACGTCATGACACAGAGAGAGGCGTGGTCCTCCTGAACCGCAAGCATCCATTTGATTTGATCAGATTTTGACACTTGACTTTAACTTTCCCATCTCCGTTTTCTCATTTAAAATCAAATCATTTAAATTTCACTTAGCACTGAGAATAAAATAACCCAAACTACTGTATGTGTACACCTTAATTACAAGTATGTATTGCCTTTTACCGACAGCTCTTGAATCATATGGTGGAATTTTTAGCGTGCTTTAAATAAAGCGAGAGGGGAGCAGTATTTAATGCTTGCTAAATGAACAAACTCTTAAAAAGGAAGGAGTTGCACTGACACTCCTCTGCGGATAGTGTTTCTATACCATCTTTGTCCATGAATGTGGTGAAGATATTCCACTTAGTCATTTGAATTGATCCCAGTGGGGGACTCTGAAATGTAACTCCGCATCAGACGGAACTGTTTCTTCCTCCCGATCCATAAGGCATCGAAACCTTGATCACAGCCAGCCGAGTGTGGATCCCATCGGATGGTAGAAGGCCTTCATCTTCTCCTCAATATAAGCCTCTTTCATTCAGAACCGTCGTGCTGACGTCCATCCGCACAGACACGAGGCAGATGAAATAGCTCTGTGCGCTCAGTCTCTCTCTCTATATGTGGCTTTCCCCTCACCCTATGGTCGTCTAGACACCAAAGAAATAATCTCTCCAACTCCGGGCCCCAAAGACAGACCCCCCGTCCCCCCCCCCCCGTCCCCGTCCCTCAAGGCTGCCTCCCCTCCAGCAGCATTGGGTTTCACCACATCCAAGGTGAATCAACACAACTCTCTTTCAATTTTATCCATCTTAGGTATTGTATCTGATACTGTTATATAATACATCTGTTACTATTCAGGAATAATAACATCCATCATTTTAAGTAGTAGGCAGCGTGTGGATGTGTATGGAGACCATTTTGGGGTTCAGACTGGATATGAAAAACGGGATCAAATTCTTTTTAATAAATGGATGATAACAAATATATAATATTATCTTTCAAAAGTATGTTGAAAATCATGTTGCCATTGATGTTCTGTCAAAAGGATACACTTATATATATGCCTTCTATGTTTCAGTAGTTAGTAGTGGAGTTGTACTGGACTGCATTATATTGAGTTTCTAATACTCCTTATATATTTAAATAGTGAGCAAAAATAAAAATCTAAAATGTTATCTCGTGCAGTACAACACCTTTCAATATGATCTCAATAATAAACATATATAAAAATGTACATGTTTCAGAAAATAAAAACAGCAACTGAAGATGTATCTATTTATTATTTTACACACACGCGCGCGCGCGCACACACACACACACACACACACACACACGACTTGACAATTAGGTCCCCTACATCTCTCTAACTCAGCTACGACAAAACCACCTCTCACGTTCTTCTGTCACTCAGAGAGAAACAAATTCAATCTTGCTGCTGCACATCTGGAAACAGAGAAGAGGCCTTTCCCTTTTCTTTTGTTGGGTGCTCCAAAAAGTGGCGCCCCCTGGTGCCCCCGGGGAGTAACGAAGCCCTCTGAGATGAAGTAGATAAGAGGAGAGATGTCCTTTCAACTGAATAACTCCCGAGGCCATGACACAAGCTGAGAGCCATGTCTTACATAACGCGCAGGCCACTGTTGTGTTGTTTGAGTCTCTGCATGTCAACTTGCATGCGCACACTGCTTTTTTTCTTTTCTTTAAAATTCATGTCCCCACCTCCGGCACACTTTCCCCTCCCCCTGTCTTAAAAACAAAAAGGCAAAGGAAAAATAGTATTCCTCTTGTCTCAGCTCTATTTTTACCCTGCTTCTCTTCTTCGCTGTGACTCTGCCCTCAAGCTGGGCCCCAGCTTCTGTCCGGCTCGACTGAGAGTGGGGATGAAAGCTGACTCACATATTCATTAACACGCACGACTGCACAAACTTCCACAAATAAATCTATGGATGCAAGACAATGCACGGTCGGACACACACACACGCACATACACACACACAGCAGCTACACGCATGATGCACCTGCTCACTTACGCCAACATGTCAGAAAAGACTCCTTTTAAACCAGGGCAAGAAAGATGTTTCGATATACTATATATGCAACGCTTTCGCCGCATTATAGAACGGTTTCTTCGCATGTATTTTAAACAAACTAAAAATATTGCTGGGTCACTGCCGTTCGGGGACAGTAATAGGTCAAACACCCCTAGAGACATGTTCGTGATGTCCTCAGAGACAGTCACACAAGCCCCAAGCAGTGACAGCAAATAACCGCAATCCCTGCTATAAAAAGATCAGCTAACACAGTCAACTAATAAACATACAGACACGATGGCAGCTTTGTACGATCCGACGGACGCACTATTTTGACGCAGGGAATGCACCGAAGAAACACAACACACACATTTTGGTGTCCTGTGACCTTTTCAGACATGCAAGTGGATGCCGTGACGTGTTTGGTGCGCTGTGCAACAGGAACCAGGGGGCATGGCAGACAGCGTTCACCCTTTCAATTTGTTGTTCTGATATAAAAAATAAATAAAGCAAATGACCCACTTTAGGTCATATTATTTTGTATTATTTATCTTCCAATGCATACTGCCACCTAGGGGCCTCTTCTGGCAACATTTAGCAGGAGTGAGGGACAATGTGACGCTGATGCTTTCAGCGGGCTTGACGACATTTTCTCTCACAATGCATACACACACAAAATATCCAATAAGTTATTTTGTCTTTATTATAAAAAGCGTGCTGTATTATTACTGTAGTAGTGACCTCATAGTAAAGTAGACATAGAAGAGGTCACAGTAAACAACATAAACTCATGTACACAAAAACCCTGAGAATCTTCTTACAATAATTAGTTTCCTACCATGATGAAAATACTGTTTGTATATTTCATTCCATATGTAATGTCCTGTAGTCCTGATGTAAGAAGGTTGTTTACCTCACATCAGTCTCTCTCATTCTAGGCGGACGTCTTTGCTTTCTTGTGACGTGCCGATTTGGTTTTCGTGTTCTTCACAGTTCCATTTTCTTCTGTCTCAATTTTGATGCTCTTGCAAGCTACCGTCACATTTTCCTCATCCTCTTCCTCTTTCTTCGGCCGCTTCAGGGGTGCCTTTTCTTTCAGCTTTTGGAACTTCTTGAGGTCGGCACAGAACAGCACCTAAATATAGAGAAACACTGTGTGTTGTAGCAGACAGACAGCGAGACACACGACAGAAACTCACAGACAGACAGCGGCTGGTAACACTCACCGACTGAGCCCAACCGGAATAAGGACCCCACAGTTTTCTGAAAAAATCCCCTGTGCAGAAATATTACATTTGACTGTGTTACCAATTAAAAGAGAACCACTATTCAGTGTGAACACACTACTGATGAGGTGCATATGACTACTGACCGAGATCTCTGTGAAGTTTATCTGTGATGCTCTTTTGTCCGCTGCCAGGAGCGAAGCTGTAGTCTCGTTTAGCGATCTGCCACACGTGTGTGTCTACGGGCACGGCCTCCGCCTTATCCAGAGACATCAGACATACACAGTCCGCCACCTTACAGGGAGACGCAGAGCCTCGATTACATGTCCCTGTTACAAGTTCACCGAACATGTAAGAGGCTACTCTACCTTGGTGCCAACGCCGGGGAGAGTACGCAGAGCATCGCGGGCCAGCAGATACGAGGTGCTCCGGAGGCCGTCGAGCCACTGGAGATCATGGGTGTCCAAAATCTGCGCCGCGCTCTGCTGAAGGAACCGAGCCCTGTATCCAAAACCCAGATCCCTGAGACGGGCCTCTACGCCGTTCCCTGCCAAATGAAACGTAGAAAACACATTTTTTGATGACGATGGCTAGTGAACGTGAGTCTTAGCAGGTTTACAGCTGCATGGAATATGTGAGCACTCGAAGGAAGAAATAAACATAAACAAAAAGAGACAGTAGTAACATGTTTGTCGTAGAACCCGCAGTGAGATTTATGTACCACTCAGCTAACAACCAAAGCGCTTATTATTCTACTTTCTTATGACAGAGGATAGTAGTAGACAGAGAGATAAAGATACATAAATACTTAATTGATCCAGGTGATCGGGCGTTATTATCGAAAATATCATTCATCCAAAATTCAACCAATTTACAATATCAACGAAATAATATATAATAGTAATAACCCAAAAGCAGAATAATAATGGCTCTTAAACAAAAAAAAAGTATGTTAATAAGTGACGCAACGAAAATAAAGATCCCTTAAAACCATAAAGGCTCCCAAATTCTCTACCATTGCACCGCTCACTCTACAGCAAAAGTGGAGGCGAATAACATCATTGGGGACCCGAGAGACCTGACGCAGCTGTGAACCCTGCACCACTGATACTGAGAGAGATTATAAACAGGGCGTCGGTCTGTGGAGAGAGAATTCAGTACCTGCAAGAGCAGACAGGGAAGGAAAGTCGAAGTAAGAGGTTTCATCCAGCTGGCACAGCGGGGCGCCCAGAGCCCGGCACAACCTCTCCACCATGCCATGGATACGAGAGATGTGGTTGTTGGAGGTGCAGATAAAGGAAAAAAGACATTCAGTGGGGTCCTGGCGAAGCATTCGCACACCTGGGGGAGAGGGAGAGACCAAAATATGTATATTTAAAACATATTTCTTGCAACAAATAGTGGCTCGTCATTATGTTTCAGAGTAATATTAAGTGGTAGCACACAAAACTGGCCTGTGAAGATGTCTGCAATGCGCTGGAAGTGGGGGTCTGCTGCTCCCCATCCCTTGTACAGATCCCCCAGTGTCACATTCAGCTGGAAGTAGTCTCTCAGCATCTCCTCTTCCTCCTTGGTGTCCTGCACTGGAGTCACAGCCACCGGCTCCTCCTCCTTCTTCAGAGCTCCTTTGAATCTCATCTCTGACTTGTTTTGGAGAGAAACACCAGCTCTCCTCTTCCTGTCCCCTACCCCTGCCTGTCCCTGCCTGTCTGAACTCGTGTAAACGTGGTACCAGAGAGTCTCATCTGTCTGAGTCAGAGTCCAAACTCGTCCTCCCATCACTCCGGTCCAGTGGCCCTCTGCAGTTTCTCTCCAGCTGTGGGTTGAACATGTGTCATACGAGGATGTCAACTGTATTAGATCTGATGATGGCAGAATAACGAGTTAGACCCTAACCCTTACCGGAAAGATTGTCCGCCGGCGAGAGTGAGATCCAGACGCAGCTCGGACTTGGCACAGGCCAGAGATCTCCACATTTTTGCCCCTGATGACAGCACCGCATGTTTGGCCATGGCTAACAGTTACCCCGCTGTCTGTTTATAAGTTAAAAACAAGCAGACACTGACCTACCATAGTGTTTCCGGCATTATACAAACTCGCCAGTGTAAGTTAGGAAACGGGAAACACAACATCAGTGTACGTTACGTTACAACAGTGTAAATACCTTTCGCGGAGTTGTTTTTAGCTAGCGGCGATAATGATGGACAACAAAGACCTAACACTGTAGCAAAGCTGGGTGTATTTTTGAAGAAAATATTTCACGTTTAGATGCTTATGATAATATAATACATAATACTAAATGTTACCTAAAACAAAAAAAATACGTTTCTATGGTCCTAACTTCATGTTAATAATATTCGGGAATAGTTTAAATGACCATCTGATGCAACATTACACAGGTTCCGGTAACCCCACCCACTGATGTCAACACAACTGCTGATTGGCTCTCGCACATAAGGTGGGCGGTAATTTTAACCAAGCTCATACACGATTGGTCAATGCCATCCGTGCTTGCGGTGTCCTATTGGCTAATATTTTTGTTCCTCTTTGACGTATACAGGAAGTCGTCCCCTCGCTCTCTCTTCTGAAAAGTCGTGTGAGGAGGGTGGCGTGTGTCAGAGGAGGCTCGGATTTAGCCGGTGAATACGGTGGAAAAATGGCGGATATATTGACACTGTTCACGTCCATTGGGCTCAGTGAGCAGAAAGCGAAAGAAACGCTGAAAAATGAGGCGCTGAGTTGCGCCCTGAAGGACGCTATTGTACAGGTACGACCCACCGTTATTGGTGGAACTCTGGCTCGACAGCTGTGGAATGTGACTGACGTTAAGTGTCCTTTTTAGCTCCCTAGTTGTATCAAAATAGACATTGTTTCTATTATTATTATTATTATTTGTATACACCCTCAGTTCCTCTTCACTTTTAAAGAGGAACCTACTCTTCAGTAACTCAGCTGTTGTGGGAGGGTCTCCATTCTTTGACTTTCACATTGACACGTTTGTTTGCAGACAATCCTCCCAGATTAAGATGAAATAAATTATAACACTTCCCTGTTGGACTGTGACACCGTCTATTAGCTATTGACATGCATGCATTTTGAAGGACAAATGAATGAATGAATTCTGGTCTTTTCCTCATTGTTTTTCAACAGGCTCAGCGTGTCAGTGGGCCATCAGGAGTGGACAAAGCCATCGGTACTTTGCTGTACAGTATGGCCTCTCGCCTTAAAGACCCCGAACGCCTGGTGTTCCTGTCAGACAGCATAGTTCAGTGCAAAATCTGCACAGAGCTCCAGCTGGCAGGTACTTTCTGACATCTTTGACATGTTGCAACATGACTGCTCGTGAAAATGTAAAGATGGACTTATTTTTAACATTAATCTTTTGCAACAGGTGATTTTCCAGGCTGAAGCTATTTTTAGAAGTATATTGCATTCATTCACCCACCACTGCTCACACACAAAATATAGTGTGTGCAAACCTCAATTCAGTCAAGATTCAACATGATATGCATTTGGTGTCTGGAATACCCTACATTTATTTAAAACACATTCTGAAGGAGGCTGGGGGAAGTATTGAGAGAAAGCAGAATGAATGATTGATTATATGGACTCTTTTAATGAATGAGAAAGGTGTGTCGACATGAACGACTAGAGATAAATGACTCCTCCCTCTTTTCTTTATCAGCTGCACTGGAATTTGTGAAGCGTCATCCTCAGGACCCCATCAACCAGAGGGAGTTTGAAGAGGCATGTGGAGTGGGCGTTGTCATTACACCGGAGCAGATCGAAGAAGCCGTAAGTGAGCTTACAATTCCCCAGAAGTACGTCTGTGTCATATGTCTGTCAGCTTCACTGACTGTTGAATATCGTGCAGGTGGAGTCAGTGATCAAGAAGCACAAGGAACCTCTGTTGAAGGAGAGGTACCACTTCAACATGGGACTGCTAATGGGTATGATGTCATACTTACTTGGTTAAATATCTTTGCAACCATTGAAGGCAGGGTTGGTCATCTTGAGAAACTAGTAAGAGTTTGCAGACTTTTTAGAAAGTATCCAACAGAAAAAACCCGGCCCAGTGTTTTTTATTTTCCAATGAAAGTAGCTAACAGCACGAGCTCCAAAAGTCACTAAATCTAGCAAGAAAGTCAGCAACACTGGCGCTCCGTCCCTTCAGGCCTCCCTTTAAAGAAGCCACTTTCCCAAAATTATTATTATGAACGTAAACAAAGAACACAGGCTAGTGCTCACAGCTGTGATGAAGAATGAGTGCACAGGCAGAATAGGTGCAAAAATATCAGTCATGCATAATTCTTAAAATAATTATATTTTACCAATTCATTAAGCAATTTAATTGCAAGTTTGATAAACCAGATTTTATGTTCATGTTTTGTATTTTTAATGCAATCGTTAACTCATCATAAATGGTCAACTGTTGCAACAAACCGAAAATGTTAGCTGGCTGAAAAATATGTTCCGAAGCTGATGCTTATTACAGTGCTACTTCAGCCACAGATACTGTATTCATTCCTGGTGTTTAATCGTCAGAGTATTCGATTTATTATTTGCTGAAAATTTCCACAATTATAACAAAACACTGTTTTTTGGAAGAAGATTACAGATTACAACCTTTGCTTTAAAGCCTGACCGACGCACAGAATGTCTCGCTAAGCTTTCGTCTCGGTTGCAGGAGAGGCTCGCTCTGCTCTGAAGTGGGCTGATGGGAAGGTCATCAAGAATGAGGTGGACATGCAGGTGTGTGTTGAAAAACAGAATATGGTCATTGTGATTGTTGTTGGGTTGTACTCACTGCGTACCGTAACTATCTCTGACTTTGTTCTTAAAGGTGCTGCACCTCTTAGGTCCCAAGACAGAAGCTGACCTGGAGAAGAAACTGAAGGTAGCACGTCAAGTTATTTAAAGGACTAGCTCGAAGTTTTGCGTAATATGCTTATTCGATTCCTGTGTCCAGACAATGATCAGTCCGGCTCAAGACCTACCTGTTGAGTCACAGCTTGTCCTCTTTTGTGCGGATTAAACAAACTAGATTAATTCCCCAGCTTTATCGGGGCTGGTAGGCTGATTTTGTTGCTTTTGGGTAGAACCAGGGCAAGCTTTTTCCCCTTGTTTCCAGTCTTTATGCTAAGCTAACTGGCTGCTAGTTGTAGTTTCATATTTAACATACAAATATTACAAATATCATCTCATTTAACTCTCTGCACAAACACAAGTCATTTTATTTTCTAACATGTTTATAACTATTCCTCTAATCACAATCTTCTGATTTCATCTGTGGTTTATATTTAATTGTTTTGCAGCCCCAGAAAGCCAAAGTGGCAGGCGGTGAGGTCAAGGTGAAGAAAGAGGAGGTGGCAGTGGCTGGTAAGCAGCAGGGAAAGTGGACGGCACATTGACAGCAAATTCAGCATTGTGTTTTGGTCGAGTGTTTTTTACTCATTGGTTGTTCAGATGAGGGGATGACTGGGGAGGGAAAGCCTCTGATGGAGCAGCTCAGAGGAGAGTCGCTGAAGTTCCATAAACCAGGTGAGAAGAAAACCACCTGAACGATTAGAAGCAGTTTCACATCAGCTTGTTGCTCTTTTTTTTCTTCACACTTTCTTTACTTACTTATGTCGATTTTTTCATCCTTAACCCTCCGTCATACAGGAGAGAACTATAAATCCGAGGGCTACGTGATCACAGCAAACACAATGGATTTACTTAAAAAGCACATGGAGCTCACTGGTGGACAGGTACAAACTTTACATGAAGAGGAAACACATTAACTTGAAAATTATTGTGAATATTGATTTTTCCATTAACGATTTCCTTTAGATCCGTACTCGTTTTCCTCCTGAGCCCAACGGGATCCTTCACATTGGACACGCCAAAGCCATCAACTTCAATTTTGGTTATGCAAAGGTTTGTGTCTTTCTGTTCTCCGTCATCATTTTTAAAGGCAGGGTTGGTAATCTATAGCAAGAGTACGGTAAACTTAAGAAATTATCCAACCGGATAACCCAGCCCCGTGTGGACAACTTTTTTGTCGGGGCATATGATGAAATGTTTACCAACCCTACCCTTTTAAACATTAATGTAAAATATATCTGTAATGCATAATTCTTAAAACAGTTATACTATACTAGTTCAATAAAAAATGTAAATGTAAGTTAGATAAAACATAAAAATGTTCAATATTCCTATTTTACATGCAATCGTTTAATGTCAACTGCTGCAAGAAACACATTTGTTTTTCGACCCAAAATAAAATGTTGGCTGTTAAGGGGATACTTGGTTGAAGATAGTTTGGTTTGGTTACTTTGTTGAAGGAAAAGTTGGAAAACCACCGACTGTTAAATCCTCTCTGGTGCAGCAGTTCTCTTTAAAACGTGTCTTCTTGTAGGCAAACAACGGAATTTGCTTCTTGAGGTATGACGACACAAATCCAGAGAAGGAGGAGGAGAAATACTTCACTGCTATCAAGGACATGGTGGAGTGGCTTGGTGAGTCTGACTCTGTTGATTTCCACCTGATGATGATCTGATGACAGCTTCAGGTACACTCTTATCAACGTAACTCTTAATACACAGGCTACCAGCCTCATGCTGTCACGCACGCATCCGACAACTTTCAGCAACTCTACGACCTCGCTGTGGATCTCGTCCACAGGTGAGTGTAGGAACCGTGTGTTCGTGTAGGTGAATGTGAATAAGCCAGTAGATGATGTTCAAATTGTTTTCCTTCAGGGGTCACGCGTACGTGTGCCACCAGAAAGGGGAGGCACTAAAGGGCCACAACTCTCCTCCATCGCCGTGGAGAGACCGACCCATCGAGGAGTCGCTGGTGCTGTTTGATCAGATGAAGAAGGGGCTGTTTGCTGAGGGAGAGGCCACGCTCAGGATGAAGACCGTCATGGAGGACGGGAAGCTGGACCCCGTGGCGTACAGGATCAAATACACGGCGCATCATCGAACGGGAGACGAATGGTACTAAACTGTTCTACTTTTTCACCCAGATGGTTCCATTTAAATACATCCTTTCTCACTGCGAGCTGTGTTTTATTTACATCTCTCTCTGCAGGTGCATCTACCCCACTTATGACTACACCCACTGTCTGTGTGACTCTATCGAAAACATCACGCACTCACTCTGCACCAAAGAGTTTCAGGCCAGGTACGTGTCAACTCTTCGGCCAGCTATCGTAGTTTTAACACACAAATGCATCGTCGAGTTCACGTCTCTGTTGGTTCCCTTTGTGTTCGTCACAGGCGTTCGTCGTATTTCTGGCTGTGCAACGCTCTGGACTTGTACTGTCCTGTTCAGTGGGAATACGGCCGCTTGAACCTCACCTACACCGTCGTGTCAAAGAGGAAAATCATCAGACTGGTGGAGGCTGGTGTCGTCAGGTAGAAAAGTTATTTATTTAAACTATTTGTATTACATTACAACAGTGTCTTGTGATGAATGATTGTCTGTAAACATTCTAAATGGATAAAAGTATTACAATATACTTTACGATAATATCTTATACTACACTGTACTATATCGATACTGACCGTATTAAGTGGAATAGGTGTCAACCAGACTTCACATCCACATTTGTCGATGCCATTTTTATAACGTGGTATGCACCCTGTTCTCCTGTTTCCTTAAATAATAATGATCCCAATGAGTTCCATGCAGTGTGGCATACACATTTTAAATTTGGGGAAAAGACAGCCCTACAAATCGATAATGGCAGATATCCTGAGCTGAGGAAAAAGTCGGGTCCCTGCATCCCTTCTTCTTCCCCTGTTTTATATTTATGTAAGCGGCGAGGCTTCTGAGGCAACTGGATGAGAAATGAATTAACCACCGAATAAAAATAACCACTAAATATCCTGCGCAGCCACAAGCCTTAAATCAAATACATTTTGTAGCAGTTAACATGTAAAAATGAAGATGGGATGTACAAAAAGGACTTACTAACGATATTACACTACAGATTATTTTAATTATATGGCTCTGGTATATGCCTCTTGCTTCTGTCATGACAAACATTTATGTAAAAGTCAGTGTTGTAGTCAAGACCACCTAAACCAAGACTGAGTCAAGACAAAGACCAGAGCGTAGCGAGACGGAGACCAGACCAAGACTTTATGGGGTTGAGACAAAGTCGAGACCGAGTCATGACCGAGACCAGACCAGCATTAGTCCCACACTGCATGACACACTTACAATAGAAAGTGGAACACACAAACCAGAGTCACTCCTAAAAAATATCTTGAAGATTCACATAAAAACACCCACCATGAGATACTTGACTCTTGAGGAAATCATCAAAAGGCTTTGCAGAGGGGATTTTTCCTTGTGTTTCTTATGAGCGATCACAGTAATGACGTTAACAAAAGAAATATCAGACGCTGCACAGGCATCGAGAGAACGAACACGGCCGAGTAAAAATGTGATCGATGACGAGACGAGACCTTCTAAAAGTGGTCTCAACACCACGACCGATCTCAAGCACGACAACATTGGTAAAAGTGTGTCTGAATGACAAAAATACACTTTAACAGCAATGTTATGAATTCCATGTCTGAAAAGGGCTGATGTGTATTAAAAGCTACAACCATGAGTGAATTCAAACCATGTAGACTTCTCACTGTAACCACAGCAGCTGTCTTCCTGCTACTGGAAGCCGTTTGGTGACTGTAGAAGATTTCTCTTCTGATTACAGAGACTGGGACGATCCCCGACTCTTCACTCTGACCGCGCTGAAAAGAAGAGGTTTCCCACCAGAGGCGATTAACAACTTCTGTGCACGGGTACGCAGCATGGACGGGAGGAGGAACTAGTAATGAAATGCACGAGGACTGTAATGTAACGACGCGTTAAATCTGTTGGCAGGTCGGAGTCACGGTTTCTCAGACAACGACAGAGCCCCACCTCCTGGAGGCGTGTGTGAGGGACGTTCTGAACGACACGGCGCCAAGAGCCATGGCCGTGCTGGACCCACTCAAAGTCACCATAACCAACCTCCCTCAGAATTCAAAGGTCCGTGGACTCGTAATACCCCGTATATCCCGTCTGTCGGCGTGATATCTGAAATCACGGACGCTGAATATTCCCGCTGTCGTCCTCTTGTGTCTCAGTTAGATGTACGAGTGCCGGACTTTCCTGCCAACGAGGCCAAAGGCAGCCACACCGTCCCGTTCACTCGCACAATCTTCATTGAACAGGGTGACTTCAGAGAGGTCAGAGAGGGGGGGAAAATACCCTCACAGTACAAGTAGCAGACTCTTAGTGCTATTTAATTTTTTTGGATTGCTGACTGCTTTGCTTCTTGCAGGTGATGGAGAAGGGCTACAAGCGTTTGACTCCAGACCAGCCTGTAGGTCTGAGGCATGCTGGGTATGTCATCTCCTTCCAGAAGGTCATCAAGGTAAGACTCACGAACGATATCTCGAGGTGCGGTCAAACCAGTTTTGCGGTACGTAATTTACTTGCGAGGCGAGACAGGAAACGGCGTGGGAAGAGCAGTTAACACAGCCTCTCATCAGATGCTAAGATAACTCGCTATGTGTGTGAGAATTTTATTCATATGCGGTTTGTTTGATGTGATCCAACCAGGCGTCAACCTCCGGGTCTGAAAGGTGAAGCCAATGCGGAAGGGCCTTAAACTTGCCTTTTTTTTTTTTTTTTTATGTTATTTTTGGGGGCGTTTTTGCCTTCATTTGACAGTACAGGTTAAATCTGGAAAGGGGTAGAAAGAGGGGGGGATGACATGCCAAGGATAGCGGGCGACTCCTCTGGTTGTATAGAAGTCTATGAGAAAATGACTCTACTTCTCTCTTGATTTATTACCTCAGTAAACATTGTAAACATGAGTTTATGGTCTCAATCTCTAGTTTCAATTCTTCTTCAATACAGCATGATGTTCATTTAGTACATTATGGTCCATTTAGAGTCAAACAGACCATAAAGCAAGGGATGCTTTAGGGCGGGGCTACTTTGTGATTGACAGGTCGCTACAACAGTTGACCGGTCTGGGCGTTGTTCGTGTTCTCAACTTACAACTTTAACCCTTTCACACTGTGTTTTCACTTCATGAAAGTTAATTGGCGTTCGGTTGTACTTAGCTCCACCCTCTTGTGTCATTTTTGGTTGCAAAAAAAACAAGATGGTGACGGCCAGAATGTCGAACTCGAGGCCTCGAAACTGTAGTTCAAGAACCAGTGGGTGAAGTCACGTAGACTACTTCTTATATACAGTCTACAGAGTTTACCTGTAGTGGCAGCTAGATGTCTGATCTCGGTAGAACTCATTCTGATCTCATGTCTGCTTCCCTCTGTGGACGTCTTTGCCTCCTGGTCCACGTCCTCCCAACGCGTCCTGCTGACGTCCCTTTTATTTGTTTCTCAGGACTCTCGGGGTAAAGTGGTCGAGCTGGAGGTGACCTGTAGCAGTTCTGACAGTGCAGCGAAACCGAAGGCCTTCATCCACTGGGTCAGCCAGCCGTTGATGTGTGAAGTGCGCCTTTATGAGAGACTGTAAGTCACAAAGAAAGAAACACACGCTCAATGTCATTCTCAAAAACTACTCCATGTAGAAAACTCGCTTCAACAAAACGTCTCTCTGTCCTTGTAGGTTCGTGCACAAAAATCCAGAGGATCAGTCTGTTGTTCCCAACGGCTTCCTGACTGACATCAACCCTGTGAGTACCTCGGCACGTCCGCGACTGTCTACATCAACCGGCGCCGTGATTGTTTAATGTGTTTCCTCCTTTTTGTTATTCAGAGTTCCCTGCATGTGATCGGCGGTGCCTTAGTGGATACCTCTGTGAAGGGAGCAACGGTTTTAGACAAATTCCAGTTTGAGAGAGTTGGCTACTTCTCCCTGGACCCCGACAGCACCGCAGATAAGGTACAGTAGGATGAAAGAACTGTGAAGCGGTTGTGTTTCACATTACTAATGAACATGTAGTAGTTACAAAGAAATATTTTGGCTCCTACGTAATGAGTGTGAAGTGTAACTGAAATCTTTTCTCTCCCTGCAGCTCGTCTTCAACAGAACAGTCACCCTCAAAGAAGACCCCGGGAAGATCTGATCCACTGATTGATCAAACTGCACTTCCTGCTTCCCATGAGCCCACAGACACATGTCCAAATAGTTTGCATCACTTAATGTGTCATTTTAACGAGGGCACAGACTGCTCAGGCTGAATCAAATGAGGTGCTATAATAATTACATCCCCTGTATTTCTGAAATGCGGTTCCCTTTCATGGATCTGTCTCTCTGAAGTTGTTCTATATCACAATAAGATTCACATGCAGTGTTTCTTCTTTGTTGAATGTATGCAGCTTTGATCATTAAGGTCCTTGTGTATATTTATTTAATATTGCACAGAGGAGATGCTTTCAAATACTGCTTTCATTACTTTTTTAAAAAGGTGGGAGATCACTGCCAAACCATCATGTGCATATTTTTAAAGACCTTTGTCCTTTTGACAGGAGACAAGAATAAATCCTAAAAAAAACATGCAATGTCTCTGTGTTCATGAAGCTGATATTAATATTCTCCTACCCGTGATATTTTAGATAATGATATTTTGGTATGAGAATCAAAATATTTGACTTGATTTGTTATGATATTTTGGCTATGATTATTGGTTCCTTCACTTAATATTCAATCTAAGGGTGGGCGACAGTAATAATAAATGTGTATATTTGTTTATTTCAGTAAGAAATGTCTTAAGTTTAGGAAACAGTAGGCCATCACTCAACTGTAACTTAACCTTTAAGACCAAGAACACGAGATAATGTCGGCTGTAATGTTATGAAAAGAAAACACAATCCCAGGCCAATAATCATGATATTAATATATCGTGTTGCATTTGTTTATGTGACAGTTGTGCTATAATCCTGACAGAGAAATATAATGTATTGACAGAGAAAAATACTATTGAGCCAATACTGATATCTATCAAATAGAATGGGGTATTTGTACATAAACCAGAAGTTTTGCAAAGGAAAAGTAAATATAATACATGAGTTTCGCAAAATAGTAAAAAATAAGGATATTAATATGTGAAAAGAGGAAAAAACGAAAGTAAAACTCTTTCTTAATAGAAAGTTAAAATAAATACTAAATCAGATATTTGGTCCAAACAGAAAGCAATGTGAGAAATGTAGACCCAGGCTGAACTATAATGTGTGGGAATTAACCCTCAACTGCCCAGAGCGTCCTGTGCACCACCCATTTATTCAGCGCATCTCTTTGGGACCACCTTAAAAGATCCAGAAGCCAGTGAACCACTAGGAGCGGCTGTCTGGCATAACAGGGTTTTAAGGTGGACTGACATCTAACTGATCTTAACGGATACTTTGCCCCGTGTGTGTCGCCTTTAACAGTCTATCCCGCGAGCGTCAGTTATCGCGATATCACGGTGCGCAAATACCGCGATATCACGAGATAGTTACAACTCGCTCTACTATTGGTCAGAGGGTACTGTTCTAAGATGGCGCCCTGGCGAAATATGAGTAGTTAAGAAAAAGAAAAAACTACAGTTAGCCATCGAACGAAAATAAAGAACATTAAATGATAAAGCAACCACGGGGGAAACGTTGATAGCACTTCGTTTCACCGTTCGTTGGAAGAACGCGTCGTTTCGAGGGCAGAGAAGCTTCTTGTCGGCGGTTTGAGGAAGAGAGGTAGGTAGCTAACGCGCCTGCTAAGGGTAGCCTGCTAGCTTCGGAGGTAACAGGAAAAAAAATGTAGTCGCCATAAGGCCCCCGACATGAGAGTTATCACCGTTTCCGATGCTTTCTGTTTATGTAAACGTATATATGTTGTTGTTCGTGCCTATGGTCGCGTTGCAAGTTGCTAAACGCTGGATATTATTTGCAAAACAACACACGGCTAGTTAGCCTGTATACCTGGCTAACCTAGATTGTTGTGTAATCAGCTGTTAGTTTAGTTAGCTGTTATCGAGCTATTGCACCGTGCACACAATCGTTAGTTTAATCGCAGTGCAAAACGTGCATGTTGTCATTCTGCAGCGGATTTGTAAAGTGGCCGCGCTTTTTGTCCCTGCTCGTACACAGTGGGATAGATTTAACCCTTTCGTATTATCGTCTGTCTGTAGTGCCACTGGTTACTGATCTATCGGTCCGTTTGTAAACACTGTAAAACGTGCAGCGTTTTCTGTCCCGTTTTTTATTTTTACACCAATAAACATGTCGCTGTCTTTTTGCTTGTTGATTGCGTTTGACAGTTGTTGAACGATGATTAATAGTAATTATTCGTTGATTCTGACATTGAATATACCTAAGTTTGCAGCTACTTTAAAACAATACTAAATTAATTCCTCTCATAGAAGAAGACACTGCCAGCAGCGATGAATAACTCCCTGGATGGATCAGGCTCCTACGAGGAGCTTGTGAGGCAGAAAGCTCGGAGCATCCCTCAGCATCGCATGAAGGAGTTCCTGGAGTCCTTGGCCAGCAAGGGCCCAGATGCCCTGCAGGAGTTCAGCCAGCAAGGCGGAGATACTACGACCACCACTATGGTCTACCAGCAAGAGGCTAACTGCATCTACACAGACAGCACAGAGGTGGCAGGGTCGTTGTTGGAGCTGGCTTGTCCGGTAAATCAGTGCACTGATTGGTCACCAAATCAATCTGTTAAAGAGCTCCGTGCTTGAAAAGAAGCTCTCTGACGGACACTGTCTTCTGATGCAGGTTCAGGTGCAGGTCCAGCCGCAGCAGCAACAGATACAGGAGTCTCAGCAGCAGTCTGTACAACAGAATCAAGAGCAACAGATAATTCAGGTTGGTACCTTTTTTATGATGTCTTTGTGTTTATCTCTTCACTCTGCTCCATTTAGTCCACAAAACTTTACCTATTGTCTCCATTTTTCAGGTGCAGATTCAGGGCCAGCAGCAAGGTCAAATGCTGGGGCAGGTCTCCCAAGTGCCCTCTGGCTCCCATCAACAGCTCCAAGGTGTGACTACTGCACAGCTGATTCAGCCTGGGGAACTCACTGAGGAGCAGCATCAACAGGTACTCATAAGCACACGCACATTTCATGGGAGAATTGCACATTTTGTCATTTACCGGAGTTTTAATTGAGTTACCAGTAATAATCTCCCTCCCATGTGTGTTTTAGCTGCAAGCCCAGTTGGTGGCAGCCGTTGCAGGAGGACAACAGATCCAAATCCAGACAGTGGGGGCCCTGTCTCCCACCCAGCAGCAGGACAATATTGAGAGGAGAGTACTGGGGACCACTGTTTCCACATCACAGGGAGCAGGTGTCCTCCAGCCAGCCAAAAAGCGTAAGGTTGATATGCCCATCACTGTGTCCTATGCCCTGCCTGGTCAGCAAGTAGCCACGGTCCTGGCTATCCCCCAGGGACAGGGCCAGCAGCAAAGTTACGTGTCCCTGCGGCCGGACCTCCTAACTGTGGACAGCTCCCACCTCTACAGTGCTACAGGCACTATCACCAGTCCCACAGGGGAGACCTGGACAATCCCTGTTTATTCTGCTCCTGCCGGCTCCGGAGGCCGTGAGCAGGTCACACACATTGCCATCCCCCAGGAAGCCTATGGAACAATGCAGCTTGCGGGGCCAAACACTACAACAATGACCACAATGCCGACGCAGGTTACTATCGAAAATGACAAGCTGAAAAGTCAGAGTCAGACTGCGCAGGCCGTTTCCAGCATCACAAGCTCCGGGGGAATGGGAGGCCAGGAAGAAGTGGTGCACACACTTTCTGCAAACACGCTGTTCCCTGCCCAGCTGATGAATGGGAACATCCACATCCCAGTGTCAGTACAGGGCTACTCCAATACTACACAGTCCCTTATCTGGGATCCACAGCAGCAGGTGCTGCACACACAAGGACTGTCGGGGCAGGACACACAGCATCTGCAGGTGCTAACACAGGTGTGCTATTGCTACGTCTTTCTTTTATTTTAGCCAGATACACATATTCGCACGTATTTCTTGATTCCATGAGGTAACGGTGTTGGTGTGTCTGTGCAGGGGCAGACAGTGGTAGCAGAGATAGATGGCCATGGCCAGCAACAGGTGCATGTGCAGGAGCTGCTGCTGCCTGCTACTCTGAAGCCAGAGGAGGGGCTGGAAGTGTGGCGGCTTTGGGCTCAGCGGAAAAACGCAGAGTTGGAAAAATCGGACTCGAATAAACTAGCCCCAATTGGCCGTAAGTGCATGTAGAGAATGTTTTAAGACGACACTTTGTCTTTGATGCACATGTGTGTATTACCGTAGTCTCTTCTCTGTCAACCCAATCACTGACTTGTGTGTGTTTTAGGACGCCAGGCTCTGCGTTTCCAGGAGGACTTGGTGTCGTGTGCGGTAGCCGAGCTCTGCATGGGTCTCTCTTTGATGACAACAAATGCTCGGGGGTTGGAAGAGGAGTCTTATGAGGCTGATGTTCTCTACTATGTATTTCTGTGCATACAAAAAGTAAGTGTATCATGCACACAAACACACGTACGCTCCCCGTTCAACATCCATTCATCGCTGTTGGTACTCAGTGTTGATGTGGGAACAATGTCTGACCGCGTCTTTCTCTGTCTGATTGTCTGCTCCAGTATCTGTTTGATAACGGTCGCGTGGACGACGTTTTCTCGGACCAGTACTACACTCGCTTCGCTCACAGCCTGCACCAGATCCTGGATCCTTGGAGATCGTCTATTCATCCGCTAGGTGTGTGGACAAAAGCTGTTTTCCAAATTCTGTGTGGTCTTCCACACCCCTCTATATTCAACACTCTGTCAACTAATATTATCTCGGATACTAAGGATGTTGCCAATCACAGTTTGTGCCTCTTCATAATCCCATCTGATGTTTATGTTTTCCTAAATAATACAGCTGCACTTCGCAGGTGTAGCCCAGAACAGGCTAATATTAAAATCACTGTAGGTAGATAGCTTCACATTAAGAACATATTGCCTGTTATGGTTTTGGTTTGTTTGGTATCCCAGATGTTTTCTGTGATATCCATTAGGAGCTGAGTGTCAGTCTTTGAAGTCTTTTGCCTCAAACATGGTCCAGGATTTGCACCGCCTCTCTCGATACGATACTCATTTTACTGGCTGCCATGTTGACGCTGCAGATATTAGTTGAAGCTCCCGACTTTTATTTGTTTGCAGAACTCCGTGGTTGTGTTGTAAGCTAAATGTGCAATCACTTAGAGTAACAGACCTGTTGCTGATTCATCAAGGGTTGTGCTGCCCCCTCTTAGTCAACTAATTGACCATTTTAGTCGACTGGAGATTAGTCATTTTGAAGCTTTTTTTTTCCAGACAACTTCTCTGGTAAACACAGGATTGAAAGTGGGAATTTTGTGTAATTATTTGTGGAGAAACTTGAGTTTTACAGATCTGTTGATTAAATCAATGAATCATTTTGTCGACAAAATCGTACGAGTGTTTTGTGACTAAGAATTTCTTTGGTCGAGGGCGGCCCCGTTAAAGGCCCAACCGGTATATTGATACAGGACAGACCGCAGGTTCCAGTCCTGACTTTTGAGTTTTGGTGATAGCACTAACTCAACCAACCAAAAAGCTGCTCTCCTCTAGGACTACAGAGCGTGGCAGAATGATGTTATTGATTAAACGTTACAGATGAAGGGATTATTTGTTTCTTTTTTT